TATCTTATCAAGAAGACAATGGAGCCCCCTTGTGGAGTCTTTAAAGTAAAGCCTTCCTAACTGCTAGATGGGGAAGACAATTTGAGAAGCTATCTAGTTGAATCCACTCAATGCTCCCTATTTTTTTCTTTTAAAAAAAAGTCAAATATGTAATCCATAGGTTGCATTTATGCCAAATTGCAAATTTCAGTGCAATTTGAGCTTAGCAGTTACAGAGATTATCAGAAGCACCAAAAGAGCAAGCTAACACCTATCATCAGAAAGAGGAAATCTGTTTACAGAATGGAGGTTCGCAGGACCCAGGAACGTAGTCACAAGGTGGATTGGCTGCATGGGGCCAGACAAAGGAATCAGTTTTGGGAGGTGAGTGAGGAGACTGAGGAGACATAAACAGGTGGAGGAGAGATTCTGTCCTTGAGAGAGATGAAGATGTAGAGGAATCAGAAGCTAAAAAGTGAAAGAGAAAAATTATAAAGAAAATGCCAAGAATAAAATATGATAAATTAATGGAGGCCAGGAAAGAAAGAAATGGAGAGCCCACTTAGCTATTATTAAATGGAGATGGGAATATTTCCACACAGAAAACACTATTATTACAGAATTATGAAAAGTCAGAGATAAAATTAAAAATATGTATTGATAGGAGCAAGCAAGGGAAAAAAACAAATCAATTTACTTTAGCAAGACAAATGCTAATGAAAATATTTCTTAGCTATGCTATTTAATGTGATATAGAAGCACACATTCATTCCTGAAGTTATGTCTTTCTCATTAGTAACTTTCTGCAAGGGTTTTTAAATTACTATTATATTTGACTGACAGCAGACATAATAAGACTATTTCATAAATGTCCTAAAAATAAGATAATATATCAGCTGAAAAGTGTTTTTGTTGATATACTTCAATTTATGTCACCTACTTTTTCTCAGAAATCTGTCTGCGATTCTGCACAACATCAACTTAAACTAGCTTATCTGTTTTAATCTCTGCCCAGCAACTTAAAAAAAAAGCAATCAAGCAATTGCTTCATTTTGTATAAATAAATCAGACAACACTATTCCCTTTGAGCCATTAACATTCGCTTATAATACAGATGTTATGACTGAATATGTCTTCCCCTAATTTATTTGTGCCAGTATTTATTTATTAACAGAGGCTTATATGCCAATCAATTCATTAAGACCTCTTATCATTTTATATTTCCTTCTTCTTGTAAGAGTTAAAATAAAAAAATGGTATACATGTGCCAGGCTACAGGATAAAATAATAACAGAAAAAGTTACTAAGAAAGAGTCTACTGAAGACAAAGTATCCAAAATTTATGTTGCAAATGTGGGAAACTTTTCATAGTTACTTTATTTGGATTCATTAAAGTACATACCACTAAGACCCCCCACTCTCATACAATGGTAATTTGCAGATGCCATAGACCAAGGATGTCAAACTGGTGGCCCACAGGCCAGATGTGTCCCACATAGGCCACACCCACCCCAACTCCACAAAGGGGGAAAATGTCACAAAATGTCATGTAAGGACAATGTGATATGGCAAGTTTGACACCTGTGCTATAGACTAACATCATCATTATTTGCAGCCACCATTTATTTCTTATGCACCCACTGTCTATAAATAGTACATTCACGTAATTTTATTATATGTAATAAAATATAAATTGTAATCAGTTTAATTATCTAGATAAACTGAACCAAACTGTGCCCTTCTATAATCTATAGGGTTTATGAGTATTCCAATTGGTGCCAATCCAGCTCCTTACCTCACATGGGATTTTACTTTTAAAAAAATAACAAATTTGCAGCTGACATGCTATAAAAGAAAATAAGAGTGCCTTTATGTCCCCAATGTGTTGAAAAAGCTATATTCAAAAATAAACAAGAGAGACTGAAAACCAATAGGCAGCTTGGAAGTACACCATCTTTTCAGGGAACAAATTCCCAATTAAAAAAAATACAGTAAGAAGTAGCCTAAAGGAATGACAGCTAGAGATAACGAGAAACAACAACAGCAACATGGCAATCATTTTACAAAGGATATCCACGGTATATTCTCAACATTTGAAAATTTGTGCCATTCTACAAAGGATTAAGGATCCTTGTACTAATAAAATGAATCTCATCTATTATTAGATGATATCTGGCTCCTTTTAGATCTGTAGGGGATTAAGAATTCACTGGAACAATTTTGAAGAAATATAAATGCACAAATTTATATTGTGCATGTACATATAGAGAACTCAATAAACATCTGAAAGGCTATTTGTATGATCCTGCATAAAGTCCCTTGGAAATTAACCTTTAAAAATAAAACTTACAGCCAAAATGTGCAACTTTCTATATTTTACTCTAAGAACTTAGAATTAATTTGTGAAATAAAAAAAATCATATTTTGAACCATCTTGTAACTAAATATTTAGACATAACATAATACTTCAAATATTTTTATACAAAATTTAATATAAAAAGATAATGAAGTGTCTTATTTCCAGGCTTATCTTCTATAAATATGTGTATATGCCACAGCATTTACAAAGATTTGGATAAATATCCCTGAATTCCTAAGTTAAAACTTAGTTCCTAAGTTTTCTTGAGACATGCATGTTGAAGATCTAATACATGACAACATTCAACAACCTCAATTAAATAAAGAGCATAACCATATAGTTATCACATAGATAAAGAGCATTGGTAGTTATTTTATCAGTCTGTCTGTCTATCTGTCTTTCAAATTTATATAGTTTCCCAACTCATAAAAAGTAATTCTGTGGCATGCAACAAAGAACTAAAAACAATAAATATATAAAAATAAGTCATTGTTGAAATATAAAACAGATACTAAAAATAACATTAACAAACAAACAGCCCCAATGAAAAAGCCATTGTAAGTTTTCATCGATCTTCTGGGAGTCCAGATCTGGTGACAAAGCCAGGTCTTGAGGGACCTCCTGAACATCAACGGGGATGAAGCTAGCCCCACTTCAGGGAGGGCGGGAGAATGATCCATTAGGCAGGCACCATGAAGGTCTGACAACAGGGACCCACCAAGCAAAGATCCCTGGCAAATAAAACCCACAACATCAAATCTGATGGCATGGGCAGATGTAATTGGGAAGAGGCCATCCCTAGATAACAAAGGTCACATATCAAGAAAGATTTTAAAGGTGAGAACCAGCACCTTGAATTAGACCAGAAGTAAACTGATAACTAATGCAGCCTGGGAGCAAAGGTATACTATGTGCTCTTTTGGAAGGACCTGGGCCGTTGCATTCTGCAACAGCTGAAGCTTCTGGATACTCCTCAAGGATAGCCCTACTTGGACAGCATTATATAGTCCAATCAGGACATGACTAAGGCATGAGTGACTCTGAGCAGAGCTTCCTGATCTGGGAATGAGTACAAGTGAAGAACAATACAAGTTATGCAAAAGTCCTCATAACCATGGCTATCAACTGATCTTCAAAAAGGAGTCACGAATCTAGGAGGATCCCAGATTATGCAGTAGGTCTGCATGGGCAGTACAACTCCATCCAGCCTAGTTCTCAAACTGGCAGGCTCCAAATCCCAAACTACTCAGTCTTGCCAAGGTTCAGCTGAAGCCTGTTTTTCTCCATCCAGTTCTTTAGAATTTCCAGGCATAGGGATAAGATGTTCACAGTAGCACTAGCACTTAGACTTATATACCACTTCACAGTGCTTTACAGTCTTCTCTAAGTGGTTTACAGTTAGCATACTGCCCCCAACAATCTCGTTCCTCATTTTAAACCATCTGGAAGGATGGAAGGCTGAGTCAACCTTGAGCCTGGTGAGATTTGAACTGCTAAACTGGAGGCAGCAGAAGTAACATTCTAACCACTGCGCCACCGTCTCTCATTATCAGTTTTAGTTAATTTAGCAGGGGCAGATAGATAAAATTACATACTGATGGTACCACACCCCATAGCAGTGGATGTGGATACCCATAGATTTTAAATAAGGGAGGAGCACCATATCCTGCACTACTCCACATAGTAGGTAGCTGAGTATCACTGCTGTCTGGAATCGATTATGGGGAAAGGAGGTGAACCAGCATAAAAATGCCATCTTCTACCAATCTTCTGTGTTTTGCATTTTGGATGCTTAGTGTGTTGTTTTTATAAACAATTGCAGTCAGGTGATTATAATTTGTGATTTTTTTGTCAGTTTCTCTACAGTAAAATGGGTGGCCAATAAATGTGAGAGGAGGGGGGGGGAGGGAGGGAGGGAGGGACGGGGGAGGGGGAGAGGAGGAGAGAGATGCATGTATCTATATATGTGAACATATATATGTATTCAAAGAAATACAGAAAGTAATTTTATTTTTGAAATCTAAGGATTCATCTTCTATTCCATATAATATTACTATTTCAATCATTTATATTTATGTGGGTAGAAAGATTACTTCCTAAACCTATGGCAAATAAATTATTCCATTATTACATTGAAAGAACAAATGCTTAGGGGTATTTTGCTAGCCAAACACAAACAATATAAAAAAATAAAATCTTCAAAGAATGGAGAGCTGCTAGAGCATATAATGTAGGATCCAGAGGTTTTAGGGTTGTAAAAAGAATGGAACTTGGAAGTGTGATCCTGCCAAAATCCCTATCTGAAACACAGAAACAGTTACATTGGATTTGGCCAAGAGGCATTTAATAACAACAGTATTTCAGTTTTGCATCCTGCCAAGCCTTTGCTTGATAGATTCTGAAATTAAATGACTTTATGGCAACAACAGTTTTGCTTCAAAATGAAATTTATCATCCAGATTACTTAGAGAGATTTAAGCGGAGATTTAAAATTGAAGAACAAGTAACCTGATACACTCAAATGGATTGTTTCTTCTAAGAATATATGTAAAATTTACTGAAAATTTACTACGTAATTGTTTACATCCTACCTTGCAAAGATATGTAATAGAAAACACATAATTGTGTCTGACCCTTTGATGACAACAGAATGAATATTCACCTGTTTCAGGATCACTGAAATCTGGGAGAGTAATTGTATTGAGCTGTCGCCTGTCAGCAATGGCTCTGTCCAATAAACTGCTGCCACGTCCAGAATCACTGTAGGAAATAATGCAATATATTACTACTTTAAATCACTGCAAGAGAGTACTGAGGTCTGTACATCATGCCTTTGTGTATGTGTATTATATACTCTATGTATATGTGCATGTGTGTGCATGTATGTAGCTATTCTCTTGGAAAGCATTTGAAACCAACATTGTCTTTTACATATTCACTTTCCATTTCTGAGACTTCTGAAGTAGTTGAAATTCAGCCGTTATAAAATGTGTTGTTTTATTTTGACTGTTAACACACACACACACACACTCTCTAACACACATTTTTCTATAGGAAAGCAAGGCTACTTAGTGCTGTAAATGCAGCAACAATGCTATTGACAAAGTAGGACAAATGCTAGTTTCTTCATGCCTGCTTTAAACTGTAAAAGGACATCCTAATTTTTCATCCTGGCAACTTCCTCTTAGTGAAACTTCTGCATTCATTTTCAAGTAACACCTTCTATTCAGAGAATGAAACTACTTCCTTTCTTTGTTCAGCTGCTATAAAAGAGGTATAAAACATTCTGCAAGATACTGAAGTAGGGTTGCTGGACACCTAATCTCATGTGCAATGAATGACACAATTGCAATAATCCACAGGAAACAGAAGGGAAACCTTTCTTGGTCCATTTCATTAAGCAATAAGTATTTTATTAATCGGCACACATTTCCTAGAAATTGCTGCATTAGTCAGCCCCTTGTTATATGTGCCCAATATTAAAAATGAAAATAATGAAGCTAACAGTTATTCATCTCTTTCGGATACTTGGTTGCATGGTGTAGGGAGTTCTGCTTGCCTTATTTCTTCTAAATTTATACTCCTCACATGAGTGATAAGAAGAAAGAAATATTATTACCTAGAAACGTATGTTAGACCTGTTTCAAACACAGTCCATTCTGAATATCTATATCTGGTATATAAAATTGTATAGCTGCTGCTATATAAATACTTTTTATTGTCCAATGGCATTCACAACTGACTTCCCTAAAGTATAAAAGAGAATTTGATCTGGGCAGATCTTCATTTTCATATCTACAGTATGTTCCTGTAACAAGGGTAGCTCAGTTATCCTTAGTAACAACTTAGCTGCTCTAGTGCACAAAGCATGAGGTAAATGACATTGACTTGGTTTTCGATTTTTAAAACATGAGTGATGATCCATTAATGAGGAAGCCTTTTATTATGTAATGCACATTTTATGGGACTGTCATGCTGATCTATTTACAAGGTTTTGAAGAGGCAAATTAAAAAAAAGTAGATAGCTAGAGGGGCAGAGAGGGAAAGAAAGAAAGAGAAATACAGTAGATAGGTAGGTAGAGAAAGAGAGTAGGTGGGTAGGTAGGTAAAGGGATAGAGAGAGAGAGAGAAATAGATAGATAAATACAGTAGGTAGGTAGGGAGAGAAAGAGTAGGTAGGTAGATAGATGTTTCCAGGTGTATTTATCCATGTGCTGGAGAAGGAAATCACTGACAAACCTTAAGACTTTGTTTCTGCTGGCACAGCAGTTGATCAATGTAATTTTGATGAGAATTACATTGATCTTGCGAACTCATGCAAACTTCCCAAAACCGGCCTGTTTTTTGCAAAAACGGGCCTGTTTTGTTTCAAATAAAAGGCATGAATAGCCGGGGGGGGGGGGGGGGGGCTTGCAGAGTGCTACATTTTAGCCTCCCGAACAGGGACCCATATTTCATTCGGGGAGGGGGGAATGAGCAAAAATGGCCCGTTTTTCATGAAAACTGGCCCAGTTTTTGTCAAAAGAATTGCATGCATACCCTTATGGAGACCTATAGAGTACTGCCCTCCCCAGTCTCCAGGAGCTCTCTGAAAGCCTTCATAAGGCCATTTTGATGAAGGGGCGGGGCTTCGGGAGACAAAAACATGCTGTATTCGATGTATAAGACAACACTCAGATTTTCAGCCTCTTTTTTTGAGGAAAAAAGGTGTGTCTTATACTCCGGAAAATACGCTAATCCATCTGTTGAATGAATGGGGCCATACATTTTTATCTTTCCGATGTTGGAATATCAGTCTTTTGGATATTGTAAAGGCAAAAATAATCCAGTTACATTGTCCAGTTGTCATATTCCATGAAATAGGTATGTAACTGAAGCGAATATTGTCCTTCAAAAATTTTAATTTTTGTCACACAGTCATAATCCACTACTTTCTCCCAAACTAAGTATAGGACATTGTGAAAACATGTGTTTAACAAAATTCATTATCCTTATTACAGCTGCAACAGAATGCTGTCTTTACATTCAAATCTAGAGGACTCCAATAAATTCTAAATTATTATCTTTTGTTGTGCAAGTTGAAGTTTAAGGTCCATTGACTGTCTTGGTATAAAAATTAAGTCACTTTCCCATTGCCTAGAAAACGTAGGAGCATCTAATTCTTCATTCCACTAATTTTTAGTATCTGTAAAATTCTATACTCCCATATAAATTTCCCTCATTAATGATTTTTTTTTCTCATGACAGTGTATCTACAAGTTCAGGATGCAGTATTTCATTGAAAACTATTAACCACCTTTATCATAAATACTCCCATTCAAATATTTAAAACTTTCTCAAAACATAAAAGGACAATTTAAGTTAGGTGCATAGGCATTAACCATTGCTACTGCAGTCCCTTCTATTAATATAAGTGACCTCTATTCTGCAAGAGTCACTGAATCTCTCTTTTCATTGCCAGAAGTTCCTCAGTAAAGCAAAAGCATATAGTAGGGCTCTAGTCTATAGCCTGATTCATCTCTGAATCCCGGAGATTCATAAAAGCTTCAGCCGAGCTGCCTATCAATTTTCAATAAAATCTGCAAAGCACCCAGGAATCCCTCTGAATCTATCAATCTTTACAAGGAGATCGACTTTAATGTAATGAGTAATCTCTGTAATTGCACTGAGCTTCCACTATTGTTACCTTGATGGGCAGTTATAGTGCATAGTAAATTTACTTATACCTGCAGATAAATTTGCTTTATCTTATTCCAGTATTCCCCAATTGGGTCCCCTAAATGTGTTTGGATTATAATTCCCATAATTTTTAGTAAAATAGAGAAAGCCAGAATCTCTCTTACTTTTTCCCACAGATTTCTTTATAAATATTCCAATAATGCTTATTACCTTCATCACTTAAAACAAAACATTTTGTAAATTAAAACATTAATTTACAAAAATACATTTATATTTTAAAATGCAAATTAGCTCAATGATTCAGATTTTTCCAATTAAAATGAAGAAAGCAATCCTAAACCACTCATATGTACTATGTGTCAAAATAAAATCAATATTGAGAAAGCTACTAGCAAAATAAGAATAGAACATCTGAATAATAAACTATATTTTATAATTTTTAAAATTATGTATTGTTTTGTTCATCAGATGGTCCATAATTCACATTGCTGAATCCATAATTCTTACCTGGGATTAGTAAGATTGTAACAAGATTTCCAGATCTGCAACATATGTTTACAAGTAAGAAGTGCCTCATCAGGGCCCCTGCAGAGTGATTCCAATTTGACTTTGGAAAATAATAATCTAAGAGAAAACAAAAGTTAAAGCTTTTTTATACTTTTATACAGTTGCATTATTTTGTACTTCCAATGGAAATAATACTGTTTTAAAGTAAATTCATGAAAAGGCAGAAGAAGGAGAAATAGAATTGCATTTGTTTTTATTATAAAACAATTGCATTTAGACAGTATGTCTAAATAATATATAATGTAACGTGTAGAAGGTGTGGTATCTACAGAACAAAGAAGCAGCAGAAAATCACATTCTTACTCATCAAGAGCGAAAATTATAGGATAATATCTGGAAAAGTGAAAAACGAATTTACAACCTCTCCCAATATCACAGCTGGATTAGTTCAATGTCATGTTTAACATGTATAGAAACAGCAATAATTATTACTCACATAAAATTTTCTGGGTATTCACTCAAGGCCATGTCAATGATATTCAGAGCATCATGGTAGTGTTTCTGAGCTGACAGCAAGAGGGCAAGGAGATGTAAAGAATTAGCATCATCACCTTGAAGCTGCAGAGCCTGACGAACGTAACCCAAAGCTTCTGGTATCTAGTTAAAATAAAAACTGAAAGGAATTATTACCACAACACTTATTTTTAGAATAATTCTATTACCCATATGGATAATAACAACAGCAAAAAGGAATGGAAAGTCCTAAATACACGTTTACACATGTAACTTTGGGAGGAAACATTTCACTAGAGAGCTTACTTACAGATGCTAATGATTTTGTTATCCATTAAGCTATAAGAAGTATGTGCCCAGTCTTACTAAAATCAGTATTATTTTTAAAATAAACTTTCCCTTAGCATTGTAAATTCAAGGCACATCTGTATTGCTAAAATACATGAAGTGTGCCTGTTTCACATTTCAAATTTAATTTTTTAAAAATATTTCATTGTTTACTTTCTCAGAATGCATTTGGCATGGGCCCTTCTCATGTTTTAGTACTATTCAAAAAGAAAATAATCTTAACAAAGACAAAGCAACATCCAAATGTCATGATTTTGGAATAGGGGTGTTAAAGGCAGAAGAAAAAGATGCATGGACTGAAGACTTTGTACTTTTAAATTGCTAGTCTTCCTAAAAGGTTTACTAGAAAATGAATTATTTTATGTAATATATACAAATAAAATACAAATCTTGAAAACTGAATTCTATATGCAATATGTTATTTGTCTACCCTAATACTGAATCAGCAAGAAGGAATATAGGCATACAAAAGTGGTCAATAAACTATTCCAGATATTTTGTACAGCAATTTTGAAATGTATAAATAATTTCATTTGGAAATAGGAACACAGTGGATATTAAAAGCACTTCAATTAACAATTATATTTATTGCCGATCAATGTTAACAATGATGCTGGTTTTTAAACCTACCTGTCGAGAAATAGCAAACTGTAAAGCTAAATAAAAGGCTGCCAGATGATCAGTTGGAGACAAAGTATGCGCCCTGAAAATAATTAAAATATATTAGATTTATTAGTATTACATTTATCTAGACCATTTGTATTGCATCCTGGAAAATTGTCTTCAGTTGTAATGTGACATTGGATGGATTTTCAATGTTACTTCCTTTCTTCTTCTATCTTATTGATACTTAACACACTAGTAGTTTGTTTCTGACACCCAGGCAGTTGTACTTCCTAATTAAATTAGCCCTCCCTTCCTCTCTTCCTTCCCGTCAGTTGTTATTTTTTAAATCTATTTTCCCTGGTTGTTTCAAGATGTCAGGGCCTTAATTATGAAATTCAGTTTGGTGTCAATGAGACAGTCACTACCTATCAGCCTAATCTACCTCACAGGGTTGTTGTGGAGAAAAAAGGAGGAAGAAAGTATGTTGGATATGTTTTTTGCCTTGAGTTATTTGTAAAAATAAAAGACAGGATACAAACAAACAATCTAACATTCTCTAGTGTCAAAGGGATTCTTATGTTTCATAATTAAGTAATAAAGGGTGTTTTAATATTTTGTTCAGATTTTTAAAAGTGAATTAAAAATCTGATAAACAGAATCTGCTCACCGAATTAATAACATAATACAGAGATTTTTTAAAATAGATTACTGTTTCAGAAATCTAAATCTAGCAATGAAAGAAGGGTGATTACCATCTGGCAGCTATCCAGTATTATGTCATCATCATCAGTTTAAAATCTCAGAAATAATCCAGATTAAATATTACTTGCATAAATGATTGCTGACATCTATGTCAGATGACTGCAGGGATATATTTATAGGAAGATGGGCATACATGACACAGCCTGTACTGATACAAATTCATGATTCAAGTTTCAAAGGATTTTCTCCTAACCTCTTTACTTTGGAAAATACAAAGTAAAAAATGTCCATAAGGAATTCTGTATATTAGAATTAATTATATAAAAACATGTTCTTATATAATTAATTCTATAATGCAATGAACTAATACTAGCTCTCTCAGAGTTCTTATAACAAAAATAATATGCACTGATATTCATCACCAGTGTGTTTGTGTTACTTCCTATCAAGCAAAGTCAAAGGTGCCTACAGTTAATAACCACTGCATTTGCTTAACAACTATGGCAAAAAAGTGTGAATCACTTACTTAGCAATAGAAATTCTGTCCCACTTGTGATTTAAAGTCAAGGATTAGCTATATCTCAGTCCCAATTGCCATTGTAATCTGAAGACTACCTATATGGATACTGAGTTTAAATGGGAAGAATAGTAGGACCAAGCCTACATTTTACAAGTAATTATCCTCTCTCCTATTCACTTCCAATAGACTGACACGTTACAGACAGTTACCTTTTAAAACTTTATCTGAAATATCCAGGAAACATGAAAGAAAAACTTTTGCTGAATATCATAATACATGTATTTAATGTTAATTAAAATGGGACATAGTGAATCTTGCAAATAACTGATATCCCCATTAGGAATACATTTTTAACTGTTTACAGTTTAAAACATTTACCTGATTCTAACCTTACCTTTAATGCAGGAAATATAATTTTTATCACAATAAGCATATTTTTGTTGAATTGAAATATTACTATTCTCACTAATAATAGTAAGAATAAAAACATATATTCTACTAATTCTCCACTGTGCTGCTCCAGAGCTATGTTTTGTTTACAAAGAAAAAAAAATTTGATACAAGAATTGTTCTTTAAACAAAGGTTGAGCAAATGTTATTTTCTATTAGCTGATAACAAAAATATCTTTAATGAAATAAGAGATAATCCGTTGGAATCAGATTGGATTTGCCCGCTCTACTTGATGAACCAAATGCTAATACAATATGCTCTCTACTCCCAGAGATTAATCCTTATTATATAATCATTTATAAACATATTCTTTTCAAAAATACGGTTTTCATTATCTACAGCTTAGCAAAAAGTTTACCATCCACTAACCTTTGAAATGCTAGAAGAGCCTTTCGCTGCAGGACCTCTTGCATTCCTCTCAAGGAAGCTAAAGACATAATTCATTAGTGATACTTAAATGGACATTTAATTAGTGATATTTAAATATAAAACCAGTTTTAATAATCTCATAAACAGATACGTGAAATTTACTTACCATCTGTAGCTTGTAGGCTGTAGGTCAATCCTAGGGCTAAAAAACCTTTGGCTTTGAATTCTGATGTTTTGTCCCCCACATCAACCACCATTCTGGCAAATCTTTCTGCCTCTTCTAACTAAAAAAAGATTTTCATAGGAAAAATGGCAGAATTCACTGTTTAAATCAGTTTGATCGATATCTACTAGAATTCAAATTACTTTAATTTAAAATCAAGATCCCCAAACCGTATCACAAGTGCCAAAGGTAGTATTGAAAATTTGAAAGAGTATAGAAATAAACATGGTTATCAATCTTTCCTACCATGCAACATTTCACAAGTTGAAGAACAGATCAAGATGTGGGAACATCTTGCCAAGAAATGTGGGAACAATTTCAATGTCCCTACACATTTCTGGATGGCATCATGAATGCCATCTGGATGGTATCCTATCATGAAGACTTATAGAGAGAAAAAGTACGCAGGTGTCTTAGAAGGTTCAAGTCAATCCCCACAAAAGAGTGAACTAAATTAGTCCAAAAATCAAGAGCTCAAAAGACAATGCTTTTTTAAAGGAATGGGATAAAAATTTGCCTGAGGTACACATAGGAATCAAGTTATCAGAGTAAATGGTATGAATGTAATGTAAGGCTATCAGTTACCAATGTAGGAAATCGATTAACTTTCTATGTGAACTTTGATGTGTCTGCTGACTAAATTCTTCCCAATTTCAGTAAGCACTTGTTACCAATTTTTCTTGGCAGCAACTACTCCTAAGACCATTGTTCACAACCTAGATTTCCTATGTCTTTCAATTTATTGCTCTTTCACCTGATGGTCTCTATACTTGTTAGGAATTAGGTTGAACTGTCACTTCAGGGTTATGGAAACAGAATCTGTAGATACTGCTTTCTTCCTTAGAAGGAACCTTAACCCTTCATAAACCCTACAACCACAATCACTCCATGCACACGCTAGTTTTTTTCTTTTTCTTTCTTTTTTCGTTTCTGTTATAATTTTGCACCAGTGAGGTTAAAACCAATTTCATTGCATTTAAGTACAATGACAATAAAGATTATACTTATACTTATACAATGCACTAAATACAATGTAGTGATTGCTAACAGAACTATCACATTTTTATTTTATTTTTAACCCATGTATGGCAATTTCTG